TTTTTTCTCGTAGAAGATTAGAAAAATAATGCCAGAATTCTTGAGCCTATAACAAACGGTGAAATTCGGTGAGGCGCCCCCCGTTTTCGGTGATCGGCTATGGAGCACAGGCCTAGCTGAGCATGAGTGACGCGAGCGGTGGTTCGGCCGCATCTGCTCCCGATGCGGGTGGTTCTCCCGGTACGAGTACCCTCGCACCGGGTTCTTCAACACAAGACGCGCAACAAGACAACGAGGTGGTCGTCGTGCCGGGCTCAACGAGTGGAGGAGCGCCACAGCAGTCAGTGAACGTCAAGCGTCCCGCACCGGTCTTCCACGTTGGCGGAGGGGAGTACGACGTGCCGGAGGCTACGAAGAACGCTGTCGCGTCATTCGTTGTGCCGGCCGGTTTCCAGCAGGAAGGCGCCCGCGAGGACTCCNATAAACATACTGTGGCGTTTAGTACAGCTCTTCATACTCTACTAAGAATACTNTGTGCCGTGCTCAATCAACGAGTGGAAGAGCGCCACAGCAGTTATGTTTATGTTTATCATGCAATCAAATCAACGTTTGTACGGAGTAGTTCTGTCAGTATTGTCAGTACATGTGCTGTACAAAGCGTACTGTGGCGTTTAGTATGGCTCTCCATACTGTACTAAACATACTGTGGCGTTTTGTACAGCTCTTCATACTGTACTAAACATACTGTGGCGTTTAGTACAGCTCTTCATACTGTAATAAACATACTGTGGCGTTTAGTACAGCTCTTCATACTCTACTAAGAATACTGTGGCGTTTAGTATAGCTCTTCGTCCTGTACTAAAACTTTTGTAAGTACGGCTCTTGAATACTCTACTAAACATCTTTTTCAGTATAGTACGGCTTTTCATACTCTACTCATACTCACTTCATAGTATGGCTCTTCATACTCTATACTCAAAGTACTCTTGCGGTTTAGTACGGCTTTTCATACTCTACTAAACATACGCTTTGAGTTTAGTACCTAACTAACCTCTGTACTCTACTCAGGTGAGTAGAGTATTCACCTCTCTCATACTCTACTCTACTCAACCGTTCGTACAGATTCTCGATACTCTACTAAACATACTCTACTGTACTAAACCTACCCGTGAAAATTTTGCACTTTTTACATGCGGCTGTTTCTTTCCGTTTTTGTGCACATGCACGGAGAAACAAATTGTCAAGTCTTCCCGCCGTGCGGACCCAAACAACCACGCTTCAGGCCCTGACCTGTCATGCGTATTTCTTGACATTTTTATGCACGTTTTTCGGCACGTGCGTAAGCTCAAAAGGCGACTTATGCACGCTGGTCATGCTCAAAATGGCGACTTATGCACGCTGGTCATGCTCATTTTCCTCGCGTGTGCTCGTACTTCTGCACGCTTTTCTTTGTCCCTCGTGCTCGGGCAATCCTTGTTTTGGTCATTAATGCTCGACATATGAGCGCGAGGTTGGCTTCGTCGACACGCTTTGTCTATAATGACGTCTCCCACCGTGGAAATGTATATATATATATATATATGAATAATTAATTGTGTTGCTGTATCACACAGCGCAAATTATCTTGGACTCTAGTCTTTCAGGAAATGTTTCTTCGACGCATCCGACTACTACTACTCTGCACTCGTTCGTTCTAATAAGGGTGAAGTGGGGACTACTTTCTTCCCGCATTCCCTTCACCCTTGGTCAACCGTGATCGCCATTCGGCAGACAGAGTATATATATTTATTTCTGGAATCAATCGCGGTAAAATACTTGTAGAGGTCGTTCACCTCTCAGAACATCAAGGACGAGGACGGCAAGGTCCGTCGGGACCCCACGTTTATTCGCCA